ACTGGGGTGGACTGTATTGGTGCGACTGAGGCCCAAATCTTGAAAAACAAGCCAAAATTAGGAGTGCCCCTAAGTGCATTTTCGGTACATTACACTCAGATAGGTATCTTACATGTGTTTATGTTGACATAATTTGTGAGCTATTGGCATATTGAAGTGTAATAAACTAGTCCTTAGAAAACTGTCCCCATGTACATGTATATGTTTTTATTGACTGCATGTACAAGTACCTGCTCGCCACATGTTTGTCATGAAAAAAAACTATACCCTGCCCCCTTCATCGTTAATGTCTTATGTCCCATTTTGGATATTGAAATGTCGACGGCTTTGGGTTTCTGAACTGGCCTTAAATCTGAAAATCCTATTGTAGAAAGGAGTACAAGGTTCATTACAAGATTGATTTGTCAATTGTCAAGATCTATTACCTAAACAACCGTCACGGTATCTCAGTCGGTAGAGCGCTCGCTCCGTTATCGGGAGGTCGTGAGTTCGAATCTCGGCCGCGACTGACCTAAGTCGATAAAAAATAGGCAGCAACTACTGTATACAGGGTTATTTTCGCCCCGTGTTATTTTCGCGCTCTCACTCTTGCAAACAATTTTGCCCCGTTTTAAATTCGCCCATGTCATAAATCTGTTTAACAAATTATACTGTGATTTTTTGAATTCGCCCCGTTTTAAATTCGCCCACTTGTGTGAAGGGCTAAAGGGGCGAAAATAAAACTTGGGCGAAAATTTCCCTGTATACAGTATTCCTTCGCCATGCGCTCGGCACTTTGAAGTGAAAGTTGCGGGTCCTTCGGATGAGACCTTAAACACCGAGACCCCGTGTCACGGCAGGCGTTGGCACGATAAAGATCCCTCACTACTCAATGGTCCTGAGTTCCGAGTAAAGGTCAAAATTTGAACCTCTTCGCCGGTATATGGTGACGTCTCTATGTGAGTGAAAAATTCTCGAATGGGACATAAAACGGAATACCAGAGCAAGCCCTGCAAGTAATACTCGATACATGTAGCTATTAATGCTCGATACAAAACATATGTGAAATCGGATAAAACGTCCTCCTCTCTGGACCGCCCTGTCCAAACTAACTTGCACGAACTGGCGGGTTTTAAGGTCCAGTGAATTGAGGTTCAGTGAAGGCTATTTATAATGCTACTAAGTTGAAAAAACGAAGGGATTCCCTGCGGGATATTTACATGAAAGTTATAATGCATTAACAAAAATATGATACGATTTTAATTTGACAGATATAACCTATCAAAACGGTCGTATTTTGGCTGATGTGTTTCATACCAATTCCTGATTTTCGTAATGTTTGCTTGGAAGAGTTATCGTTCCTGTGGGACAGTATATAAACTTTCGGTTAGGCTACGAAGCGAAGAAAAACATGGGAAAATATTATTGTTGTGTCACAAAATGTCACAATCTTAGTGGCAGGGTTGGTTCATTTGGAAGGCGTGTAACTTTACATAAACTTCCTAAAGAAGTGTACACAAGACGTGCGTGGATTCGCTTGATCAGTAGAAAAACCTGGAAGCCAAATAGTTATACTCGTGTGTGCTCAGATCATTTCAAAGATGGTGTCGGGCCAACTTCCCAGGACAGAAATAAAATACCGAGCGAAAACTTGCCTCAGAAACAGAAAAAGATACTCGTAAGAAGGGATCCACCCAAGAGAATATGCAGGGGCCCAGAACGTGCAGACAATTCAGTTAATACCACAGACAAAGCAGGGATATTGAATCACCATTCGTGAGTACTACACTGTACATGTAGCATTCAGTTGCTATCTTATACTTTTAAAAAAAAATAATGGACTCATAGATTGACAACCATAATCATTCTGAAGTATGAGAAACATAAACACATATTTATTGTTCATATGAAGTGTTTATAGGCAACTATTTTAATTAACAGTATGGGGCTCATGCACCACCCCCTTCCCTTCTTAATGTATTAATTACAGTGAGTTGGTTTACGTTTAGAAGAATGTTTACTGTATCAGAATATCTCCTGGATGTTTTTTATATGATTGGACATATAATGTGATTTTTTTTAGCTGACCCAGTTAATGGACTGAACTGCTGAAACTGTTTTCTGTTTTATATTAAATTTGTAGGTATTCTGCTAGTGAATTGGATGATTTGATGGCACATGAAGAACCCAGTGGATCAGGAAATATGTCCAAAGAGACCCAAACCTTTTCACAGTCCTTAGTTTCTGTTGGAATAGATACCAACCTACCGGAGATTATGATTGAGTCTATACAACATTCTAATGAGTTGATGATGTTTTACACAGGAATGACTGACAGTGACACTTTTTTCGCAGTATTTTATTCGCTAATGGAACAAGGAGCAGACAAGCTGTCAACAGAGGTTTTGGGCACAATGAATAACAATAAGTTAGGTCGTAAAAGAAAACTGAGAAGAGTAGATAAATTTTTGTTAGTGATGATGATGTTTAGATTAGGATTACTGTTGAAAGATCTTGAATTCCGTTTTAAACTGTCTTCAAGTTCTGTGTCAAAAATTTTCAATTCCTGGATACTTTTTATGTATGAGTGTGCATGCAATCTCTTGTTTTTTTTGCAGGAGCTTGAAGTTTTGAAGCTACATGTTCCTAAATGTTTCACAAATTTTTCAGACACATGTAGTTTTAGACTGCACTGAGATTTTCATACAAAGTCCATCTTCTTTAGAAAAAAAAGTCCCGGACTTTTCCTAATTACAAATCACACGACACATTCAAAACATTGGTTGGAGTAAGTATGACAGGGGTTGTAGTTTTTATTTCAAAACTCTGGCCAGGATCAGCTTCTGATGTTGAAATTACTAGAAATTGTGGTTTGATACATCTTCTTATGAGAGGAGATGCAGTCATGGTTGATAAAGGTTTTATTCATATAGCTAATGATTTGAAATGTAAATGTGTTAAACTTTATTGTCCGCTTTTTAAATCAGAACTCCAGTTTAGTAGGAGTGAAGTAGAAACTACTCGTAGAATAGCTTCTGCAAGAATTCATGTAGAACGCAAGATGGAACAGGTAAAGAATTTTAGAATTTTACAGGGTATTATGCCTTTAGCAATAAGTGACTTTGCTGACCAAATATTCTTTGTGTGTACTGCTCTTACCAACCTTCTACCACCCCTGTTGTCTGAAAAAATTACTGGTACTTACTCTTTGAACATGATATATTTTGTAAAAAACTGAAATGAATTGTTTTACTTTGATTTTATTTCTTAATTTTACTTTAATATGAACAGTATCACATGTGTATATTTTACATATACATGTACCCATTTACCTGGTGTATGATACATGTTTATTCATACATGTACCAGTATGTTGTACATTTGTATAAAAATATTGTTTTCAAGTTTGGATTGATCAACTAAAAGCTGAACACTACTCATAAAAGGCATAGTTTGCCATATTTTTCTCTTACTCATCACTATCCCTACAATTAACCCCTTGCATAAGTCCAGACCTCTTTAAACAGTTTAGAGTTCTTCGCTGCCCATGTCTCACCTGTGTGGACACACACTTTGCATTGCCATGTTATTCTGTCAGGATGGAATTATCAAACTTTATGCACTTATTTTAAGCCAGGGGAAAAGTAACATCAAATATACAGGTTTTATTACAGTGTGCTTGTATTTATTTATGAGCAGTGTTCAGCTTTAACAATTTTATACATTTAAAAGTATGGTGTATCTAAGTAACTAATATTTACAGAAATACAGTGAATAATGTATATGCATTGCATATCTGATGTCAAACAGATCTTTAAACAATTTATACAAAGAAGACAATTGCAAGACTAGTGTACTAAAACTGTAAACTCTCTCATCACCAGTTATTGAAGTTACACTCATGCTTTGTCATTCAGGATTAAAACATGGTTCACCAATGTCAATATTGTCAAATGACACATGATATTAAAGGAAATAAAACATTGGATATATGCATAGACTATGATTTATCATTTTACACTAAATGATGCAATTCAAAGGCTCATAAAACTTCGTCTTAGTTTTTCAATTTTGGAAAGAGCTCTTTAATATAGAATTTATTTAGCTTTATGAGTAATGATTCCCAAAAAGAGTTGTCAAATTGGATGGGAATGACTAAAAAGCCTTTGATCGTATAAATGACAAAATCACATCTCTCCATTTGACATACACCCATTTCACCCTGCACCTGGGTATAATATTTATGACTTTTCTTTAACTGAATTGTATTGGTATCATCAATATAACAACAAAATGTTTTATCCTTGCACGCTTCTAAAATAGTACACTGTCTCCATTTAAAAGGACACTTTACTTCCAAAAGATATTTGTGTGTTTCAAACTTCACTAAGCCATCAGGGCTTGCATCTAAGTAAGAGCAATGTGTATACAAAACCAGCCCCATATCTTCAACAATTACATTCTGTTTTTTCTTCAATTTCATGTAAGCTATGTACCGTCTTTTAGCAATGGGTTCTTGCTTAATCCCCCGATGCACATCACTATTTTCTAAAGGTTTACCCTGACCCAAGAGTCTACATATGATATTTTCCGATTTTGTGGAGTCTTTTTGTGTTTTAATTTCATGAAAATTTGAAGCTGTTATACGAGCTGCTCGAGCTGAAACCCACAAAGGATTGTTATGTTGCCCTTTAGTTCGAACTTCAATTTCATCAACTATTTCTTGACTGCATGTGGATATAAAAGTCAAAAAGTCAGATTGAGACATATTTTCATCTTGAACAGTTTTTTGTAACGCAATATATTCGTCAGAAAGGTGAAGAATGTGGTCACTAGTCTCTACTTCTTCAAAATGAGCAATATTGAGGTCACTTTGTACATCAATATTGTTATTAGTACATGGGGGAAGAATGTAAAAAATAGCAGCACGTGAGTTATTTCCAAGTTTTGCACAGAATGAGTTTCTAAATTTTATGCAATCTACTTTATAATTCACAGTTTTTTTTATTCTTTACATTTTCTCAGGATAATTTGATCTTCTTGAAACTCATGTCTTGCACAGGTTTAGTATCTTTCTTTCTTTTGCTGGGTCGATTCCACTCACAAGGCTTTGAAGTGCATGGAACATCATCGTCTGTCACAGGGCGTCCTTCCAGGGCAAACAACAGTCCAGCAACATAGGTACATCCTTCACCAAGGCTGCAAATATATAATATAATCATAGACATGGATTCATATCAGCTATGATAGTTTATAACATTTATCAATTTGATTAAATAGTGCTATTCACGGAGATATCAAAAAATAAATTGAAGTGTTCTTTGTTAAAATTATTGTTTTATGAATGCATGCATAATTAAATAAATAATGAGAGAAATAATCCATTTATTTCATATTTTTAATTTGGCATATTTATATCATTTAAGAAAGTGATTTTCATTTAGTTAATACTGGTAATTCATACCCTGCTGGGCACGTGCAACTTGCTTTCTGGACGTGAAAAGGGGGTTTCTTTGTCATTAGGATCCACTGCTCATACACACCCTGCTTGATTGAAGGATAGCATTTTGATCGTATATAGCAATACTCGCTGTCAGGATTTATCTCATTCATCATAATCTTATGTATGTAGCCCTCTTTGAAAAAATTTAATCCTCTAATATATTGTCTATAGCACTTCATTTTCTTTGCATCGACAGTCCTGTGGTTACTGTGGATCAAATAATTCTCCACATCTTGGATTTTAATGTTGGGAAACATATGTGATATACTCGCAGAAATGTTTGTATTTGAGATTTCTGATAATTAAATATGTCTTCCACCGTGGTATTGAATGATAACGGCAAGTCTGTGCCTTCATTACGAAGTGGTTCCATCGCATCGTTTGGAATATGGCGCTATGCAACTCTTTACTCGGAAGTTTACATACTGTGCCGCAGGAACGATAACTCGTATAAGCAAACATTACGAAAGGAGGGAATTGTTAGGCCTGTGCTTTTATACTAAATTTGACTACGGAATGCTCCGTCTACCTGATCGATACACAGGGCTCACTTCGGGTGTTAACGGTCAACAGGTCCTCCTAGGCAAATGATCCCACCTCTGGAATTTCCGGGTGTCAGTGTTTTATGCTCTGTTCACATATTTGTATTGTTTACAGATTTTTTGAGATCGATCATTGTTTGTTATCTTCACATTTTTCATTACATATGATTGCGTTTGAAAATGATTATAGTTACCATTTAACACTATTTTGATAAGGATTTATAGTTACTTTTGGATTATGGAAATTTGTTCTTTTTAAGTATGGAAATTTGGTTGTTTGACAGATAATGGATGTGGTCACATATTTGGTCATTACTTTTTATTGTTCGTTTAAACAACAATTTTCGTACATTCCAGATCAGAATTTCATGCATTTTTTGAAATAGGAAAGTTTTTTTTAATTACTTGAACAAAGATTTTCACAATTTCATTTCATTTTCTTCTAAGAATATGATTGTGTTATATTTCTTTTCTTAAGAAAAATGTTTTAATCCATGGATCTAAGAAATATTAAAAAGACAATGTTTTCATATTCATAAATATTTAAAAAAAAAATAAATAAATAAAATAAAACGTATACCTTATTCATTACTTTTCTTAAGCAGTTTCATTTGTATTTTGCATTTATTAACAGCAAATATAAAGAAACACACTGCCTTATTTTTCAAACAAAACAATTTTCTTTAAAAATACAAAAAGAAATGATGTTGGACTTACATAAATAAGAACTTATATTGGTCACAATTTAAGGTGAAAACATAGATCAAAAGAGATTACTTAAACATCCATTCATTACCTTTTAATATGGCATGTCTCTTTACGCCTTCAAGGTGAGCAGGTGATACTAAACTTAGTTAATTATGTGATTGTCTTGATTATTCACAAAGTGTACATATTTTTAGAAAAATCAAACACCTATTATGTTGAATGAACTGGGTTTGCATAATGCTACTTGTCGCCCGTGTGGCGCAGTGGTTAGAGACCCCAAACTCCAGAGGTGGGATCAGGTGCCTAGGAGAAGTACACTCCCCTGTTGCCGGTCACATACACCTATAGCCCTATGTATTGATCTGATATGGAATAATCCATAGTAAAATTTAGTATAAAAGCAACGACCTAACATATGGTATCAACCATGTCAAACAAAATACTACCAACGCTAAGCTGTATTTACAAACAAGCCCATAACAACCGTAGATTTTGCGGGGAAAAAGCTTACATTAAACGTTTTTTTAAATCCTTGTAACATCAAACTTATCTGTCAGTAGCCTGCCTCGGGCTTAAAAATTGATCATTTTCAGAGCATATTCATACATATAGATTAAGTTGGGGAAATAGAAAGGCATATGCAGGTGAGATTGGAATATTACTACAGGAGAATAGGAGAAGCTGATGACGGAGTTGAAGTCCTACAGTTTAATAATAAGTTGGCCATTATCGTCCTTAGTGAGTAAAGCATACAAAATGGAACAGATGTGGCTATGTAGTGTCTTTAATTTTGAGTTCACAGTGATATACTGAGTAGATATATGAAAGAAATTTACTATTGTTAATTGATAAAACGTCGTCGGTATATCTGGATGTTGAAGGCCACAGAACTGAAGAATGTGAGTTGGGACCTTTCTGGATAAACTAACTTATAGGGGTCGGGGTCTTGTTTTTTGTTTTTTGTTTTGTTTTGTTTGTTTTTTTTTTTATTTGTTTTGTTTTTTTGGCAAGTTCGGTTTCTGTAGTATACAATGGTAAATACAATGAAAAAGAAAGGCGAAGATAACTGTGATCCATCTAAAACAAACTTTACAAAAGTTCAATTCTGTGAACAGGGAAAAAACATGGACCCCCAGAAATTTCGGAGGTAGGATCAGACGCCTTGTAGGTCCTGTCTCGTTGCTAGAAATTTAATGCTTAATCATTTTGAATGTTTGTTATTAATTGGGCTAATGGGGATTAAGAAGGAAGTACACGGTTTTATCATAATTGTTTTTTATTCTGTAGCTGACACTTGAAAAACTCGTCTATTTATGAATAGAGGTGCTCCTACATTGTATGTCGAATATTACCATAGAATTGATGTATTTTCACTATACAATCAATAGAACCCCATCATAATATCAGAACCCCTGACCAAGGGGCCACGAAAATCACAATTATGGAAGAGAAACTTATAACTATGCACTTTGTTTGCTTATACCCATAAAAGAGACGATTTCTAAGTAATAATGGTTTTCACTTTATTATCAATATAGCCACCTCCCCTCCTGGCCCTGGGCCGACAAAATTCACAATTATGGAAGAGACACCCTGGCTCATCATAACTATGCAGCTAATTTATTGCTAAATTTATAGGGGTAGAAAAAAGATTTTTAAAGAACTTATGCATTTTCTCTATATGTCATTAGAGCCCTGGTTCAACTCCAGAACCACTAATCCCTAAACCACTAAATTTGCATTTAGCTTATTATTACGAGCATGCCAACAGTCTGACGTTTGATGGTCAGGAGTAAGAAGATTTTTAAAGATAGCACTATTTTTTTTTTATGGTTTTAGCCCCATCTCTCAGGTTGCAAAGGGCAGGGACCATGAAATTCACAATTTTTGTACCCCTTCATCCATTGATGCTATATGCCAAAATTGGAGAAAAAAGAGAAAAACTGAATTTATTTTGTTAAACATTACGACCAGCGAACGACGCACAAAGCACGTTGCACGACGACGGACGGAAACAGATAGCAGTACTGTATAATACAATTACTTCAGATAGTATGGAGAATTGAAGGGGTGGGTGGGAAAAACTTGCAAATAACACCTTGATGTTTGGAACCAAAAGTAAAATTTTGTATTTCTTATGAGTCTTATCTCTGTAACTATATGGTGCTTAGACACAAAACAACATTAAGTCCCATTTCATGATAAAACATGCATAATACGCAAAAATACTTGACCTTTTTATACTTAATATATACTTAAGGGTTCTGCACTTTTAAATAACACAAATGCACATAAAAACCAAACTTTTGACACCCCAGATTTTTCAGATGAAAAAGGTGAAAATAATGAACAGTGCTCGATCTAAAAAAAAATCTATAAACAAACCAATCTTTGAACAGGACAAAAACACGGAACATTCCGTATTAAATCCGGTAAAAAATAAGTCTTAACAATTAATACGAAACACGTCAACCAAAATGCGACCAAATGATAGCTTATATTGCTAACAAGGTCATTAGAACGACCACAGAGTTTACGAATAGCTGATTTTAAACGAGGCTGTTGAAATCCCTGTAACATCAACTTAAGTGTAAAAAGCCTATCTCTGTTTAAAAAATTGATCATACCAGGGACATGCTCTTGATTATCGAATAAGATGGGAGATATAAAAGCTATATGCAGGTGATAGTGGAATATTACTACATGAAAAAGTAAAGTTGACGATGGAAAAGCTAAAGTCATCTCGTTTGTCATACAATTATGAGGCTCCGTTTTGGTATTTATCGCCATTTAGTGTTATCACCTATTCGAATAGGTGATATCACCTATACGAATATGTGATATCACCTATTCGAATAAGTGATATCACTCATTCAAATTGAATAGGTGATATCACCTATTTGAATAGGTGATATCACATTCGAATAGGTGATATCACCTATTCGAATAAGTGATATCACCTATTAGAATAGGTGATATCACTTATTCAATTTGAATAGGTGATATCACCAATTCGAATAGGTGATATCACCTATTTGCATTTCTTACAACAATAAATAATGAATGCTCCCTTCCTCAAGATTATCAAGATTTCCATTGGAACCAAGCCAATTCGAGCTGCCCCGTTTTCCCCTGTAATTGAGTCCGAGACATTTTAAATACCTTATGTTATCGACCCCTGTAAAGTTATATAATTTTTATAAATTTTACCAAGCTGGGGTACAACAGATTGACATACCTTTCTCTCATTATTATGTAAAGTGGGGCATTTTCCGAATGTAACAGTTATTTTTCCTATAGTATACATTTTAGATAAGTGTAATAAATATAATATATGAGCAAAACAAACTACAAATTCTACTGGGGTGCTTAAAACTAAATGCGAAGCTGTAATCCATTGTCTGCAAGAACGTTAAGTTATAAAACGAAAGTTAAAGGAAATGAGAATTAAATGCTATGTATTGTCTTGGGAGCAGTTGTTATTTCATAAGTAATTTGAATTGGTGATATTTCCTATTCGAATAAGTTATATCATTATTCAAAATGATTAAGTGATATCACCTATTCGAATAAGTGATATCACCTATTCAAAAGAAATGTGATATCACCTATTCGAATAAGTGATATCACCTATTCGAATAAGAGATATCACTTATTCGAATAGGTGATATCACCTACTCAAATCAAATAGGTGACATTACTGATTTGAATAGGTGATATCACCTATTCAGAAGCTGAATAGGTGATATCACTTATTCGAATGGGTTATATCACCAATTGAATAGGTGATATCACCTATTCAGAGGCTGAATAGGTGATATCACTTATTCGAATGGGTTATATATCACCAATTGAATAGGTGATATCACCCTTTCGAAAAAGTGATATCATTTTTTGGCAGTAAATACCAAAACGGCGCCTCATATACAATTGACATACGCTCTAGAGTCGCGGCGTAAGGAGTTGATCCTTACGTCGCGGGTTTGAATCCCACTGTGGGACGTGGA